ACAGGCAAAAGTCAATCGACTCACCAATGCACACGTTACAAGGCATAGATCAGACACGTCGTCATAACAAAGCAAAAAACAGATTCAATGGTATCGTGCGCAAATCTACATCTCTCCTTTGTTTCTAAGATCCACTTTCTTTCTTGTCCCTACAAGGGGGCACAAGCTGTGATCTGGCTCAGCCTTCCTACAGCCTTCCCCAAACACACACCAACCCAACAGTTTCAAAACAGAATGGTACAGAAAGGTAAAGGGAATCAGACAAAGAAAAAGGTTTTTGCCCTCGCCATAGCTATGTGTCTTGCCAAGTGATGTCAATCCGCGCGAACCCCGGCTGCCCCCAATGGAGGGCCGAGAGGAAGGGATGCTAGAAGCTAGGCAGGAGGGACCAAGTGTCTCCTCTATTGTCGTCGTGTGCTGTCGTAGAAGAACGCCGATGTGCATGCAAGAACCGTTTATGCTTTGGGTTGCTTATCGTCAAAGTCTTTTTTGTTTCATTGAAAAGTAAAGACTTAGTTGCGGCCCATGTGACCGTGGTCGCGGCGGTGCTTGTGTGCGTGTCGGCGGCGGTCAGCACCAACAGTGGTGGTGACGACAACCTCAACAATGGCAACCTCGTAGACGACACCGTCCTTGGTGTAGGTAGAGGTGGACACAATCTCGTCGTCCTTCATGGCGTTGGCAATGTCGGCAATGGGGGTGACGACAGGCGCAGCGTAATCGGCCATGGAGGAGGAAGAGGAGGACTTGGTGACCATGGAGGAAGGGCTCTCGACGTTGTAGACAGAGATACCGCCGCCACCGAGGGAGTGGGCAGGAGCGTAGGACTGAGTGGGGACAGGGGCAGAAGCAGAGGAGGAGATGGGCTTGACGGGCTCCTCGTCGTCCTTGTCGCCTCCCTCGAGGGGAGAGGCGTACTCGGGTCCGTATTGAACCTTGACGTTACCGCAGAGGCCGTTGGAAGGACCAGCGCAGTCGTCGATGTCGAGAATCTTGGGCATGTCCTGGATCTTGCACATGGCTTGCTCGGCCTGGGTCTGGAGGCTTCCGGAGAAGACAGGGCAGTCCTCAACGCGACCAGAGAGGTTGGTGCAGGTCTCGACAGCTTGTTGGAGGGTATCGATGTTCCAGCCGTTGATGAAATCAGCGTGGTATCCGTAGGCTGATTCTAGTTAGTAATTGGCTCGTAAGAAAGCTAGCATGTGAACTTACCAGTGGGGTCACCGTTGGAGAATGTGAATTGACCGGGCATGCCCTTGAACTTGTTGGTGTTCCAGATGGTCTCGTAGAAGAGCGTAGGGTAGCGCTTGTTGTAACCTTCAGGGCACTCGCCACCGTCGACCATGTTGGGGTAGGCCATGTGGCTCTTGTGGTCAGGAGCGGTCGCATCGCCGTTGCCGCACGAAGGGAACATGATCTCAGCACGGATACCGTCAGCGCAGTTCTCGTCCATGTACTCCTTGTCAGGGAGGAAATGACGGTAGCGCGAGCCCTCAGGGGCCCTGCCGTAGTTCATGCAGTTCATGCCGATGGCCTTCTGGCCAAGAGACAGCTGAGTCATGTCGTCCGCAGTCCAGGAAGAGGTTGGCGGGTCAGGAACGGGACCGGTGAAGTTGCGGAGACGTGTGTCACCAGCGAGCATCTGGAAGCCCTCAGGGAAAGCCTCCAGGTTGTCGCCGATGAGAAGGTAGTATGCGAGCATACCACCGATCTGGGGAACGATCTCGGTCTTGCCATTCTCGTGGACGAAGTGGAGGGAAGGGGTCCAGTAGGCGGACTTGTCGTCGTCGAACTGGCACGAGGTGCACTCCGACTTACGGAGCATGTCATAGGTGGTCGTCTCGGCGAAGTCTGTCGGCCGTTAGCAAACTGTATTATCCGCGAAACAGCCCCTGCCTCAGGCGCCCATATGGAGAGTCGTTGCATGAATGATTCGCGTGGACCTTGTCATCTTGGGGTCCCCTTGTTTGGATGTTCCCTGACAGATCCAGAACACATGCTCACTCATCATACGCCTTGCCAAGAGGGCCGAAGCAGGAGGGGGCGGTCTTCACTTACTGCTTCCACCGTGGATGGTGTGGCTGTGAGAGGAAGCAGTTCCCTCGTCGACAATGGGGTCGAGACGCGCAAGCGCAGTGCGGTCGGTACAGGGCATGCGCCAGAAGGCGCTGGCAGTGCCGGAGAGGACGGCCGCCGCGTAGAAGGGTGCGAAAGACTTCATGGTTGAATGGTCGGTCGACTTGAATTGGGAGGGGAGTCGGTGGTTGAGTAGTCTTGCGAGAAGGTCGGTTGTTGAGACAAGGTGAGTGCTTTTTTCACTGTGCTGGTCGGAGGGGTCTCGAAGTCGCTTCCGAGTAGGTTGACGAAGTGAATAACTCAGGCGCCAGGACTCTCCTGCGCTTCAAGAAGATAGACCTAGAAAGGAGTGTAGCGTTGTCACGAAGACAACTAGTTGGATGGGTAGCGAATGTTGCTGGCGGTGCCAAAGGAGTGACAGGGCGAAGGAAAGGACGCAGTAAAAGAAGGACGGGAGAGATGGGGAAACGGGCGGTTATCACGCTGGAACGGTGCTAGAGGCTTCTTTTAGGGGAGATGAAGGCATACTTTGGTTTAGCGAGGTGAAACCCTAGATTAGTACGTGGAGCATGGGACGTCCTGGGAGCGTGCTGCCATGCTCTCGTTGGACCGTGAGGCGCTGCGCACCGGCCGCTAGTCCAGGAACAGTAAGCTGAAACATGTCAGTTAGGGGATCCTTCACATGGATAAGCTGAGTACCGGCCGGCAGCCTTGCATGGCCAAATGAATCGGGCACGCTTTGGAGCCGCATTGTGTGGAGGCGGCGCTGGTGATGGTGGTGATCGTGAAGCATCCGCGCCGCTCCCGTCGTCGACGCTGCTGCTCCAACGTCTCATGTCCAAGGCGATCTACTCCACCTGAGCGCACCTGGCTCATCTGCGTATTCGGTAGGTAGTCGCACGTAACACCGGCCGGCGTGCCACAATGAGGCCGGATCATCGCTTGCTGTCGTCTTTGTTTGGTATAGGTAGTCTGGGTACCTGAATTGGCGGCAAGCCGTGGCCCGTTGCAGCATCGCAATCTCACAGGCCGCCGCTCCCACTGGCAGACGGTCCCGAAGTGCTGCACCGGCGGCGGCGACATCATGGCGACCCACTGAAATGGCACATCGCAATTGCAATGCGGGTGTCGGCAGTGGCGTCTATGTCATCGCGATAAACCTCCTTTTCTTTTACGATAGGGGCGGCTGATCTCTGGCCACCTGCTGTTCTGCGGCTGTTTGCACCACGCCAAAACAACGCTGCCACTGCTGGCCCCCTCTCTGTAGTAGTCGGTGAGCGGCTGTCTGCCTCCATTCGCGCGGGACCCCGGGACAGCGAGATTGCGCCAACTGGCTCCAACCGGCGCGGCAATAACGCGGCGAAGCGTAACTCTCGTTCGCCATTTCGCTACTCTGCTTGGTTGCTTGGTGGTGACTTGTCACGACACGGCGTCCTGCCTGTGGTCCGAAAGCAGCCTCCTCGTGCGGCACAGCAGTAGGACAACCTTCTTCACGACCTCGCTGCTCACGAGCGCACGCCGTGGTTGGACGCGAGGCATAAGCGCCACGCCCCTCGCCTCGTGTGCTGTAATTCCCGCCCCGGCTCCATACAGCCTATCGATAGTGAATTTTCGTTCCTGCAGTAGCGCTCACCACGGCGTCATGTGCTGCGCCTGGCTAAACTATCTTCTGTTCTGTGATTTGCCGGTGCTATTCTCGCGCCCTCATGCGAAGCTGATCCTCTTCTCAGCCTCCTTGAGCTAGGACATGAGACGAAAACACACCAACTACTCGGTGGGACTGTGGGACGAGAATAGTGCAGGAACTATATTCGTGCTCGTATAGTTGAGCACTATGCCAGCAGGAGCAATCACTACACCAGCAGGAGCAGGCACTATACCGGCAGGAGCAAGGCACTACACCTGCAAGAGCTGAGCGCAGCGCCCCGCCCTCACTCAGGGACATCGCAGCAGCACGAACGAGGCTGCTCCAAGATTAACCTGTCACTCGTCTCACACCTCCCCTCCTGTCATCGCCTACAAACACAACACTGCGCTCAAACCCAGATCCTTGATGACATTCTCAGGCAGATATGTAAAACACGCCTTCGCTCAGGTACCCCGCCTCTCCTATTGGCCAAACCCCCATAGCATGTCCGAAAACGTTTCAAGGCATGAATTTCTGGAACAATGTCAAACTCATGCTACCCTCGACTTGCGTTGGGGGTTGTGCGAGGCAAGGATCAGCATGTGTAACTCCACCGTCATGTCTGCCGGATGTGCTAAGATTTGTCACCCAAGGCACGCAGATCAAGCAAGGAAAGCTGTGTATCGATAGGGCACCCCTCGATGATGATCCACGAGTCCTGCGCCCGATTGTTCCACAGATAGTGTGACTAACTACGTTGCTCCTTGCTGCTACCTGCGCCGCCGCCACATGCCTTGCCCGAGCCGTGGATCTGCGACACCTGGGGAAGACTATGTGGTATGCATCTAGGGGAGAAGGGATGTGTGCATGGGCGGCCCGCACAGCACATCACTCACTGTACAATCGCATGTCGCCCTTCTCTCACGTCCACGCTGGTTTGCATTGACCGTGGATCCCCAGGCAGGAAGCGGTCTTTTAATATTATTTTGGTTCGATCGATCGATCCGACGTAGCGTATACTGCCCTGTGAGATGAGCTCGGGCTTGCCTAGGAGAACGTTGCATCCGAAGACGTGCTTCCCTTCCGTTGACGGTTGCACTGACAATGCGCTTCATATGTCATTCAAATATATGCTTCATGTAGGGCTGCTGTGATGAAAGGAGGAGAAGACGTCATCCTCAAAGCAAATCGCTAGGGTCGTGCCGCGAGGGGCAGCCATGGCATTCATTCTACTCTGTGCAGTGTCGCGATGCACATCTCTATCTTCCTGCAAGTGATCATCCACCCTCCTACCCCATCACAACTTAGCCCCGTCTCTCAACGGAATCTTCTCCCAAGCTTCCGCAAATCCACAACTCCTCACCCAATGCGGCTCACCCGCCTCCACACTATCCACAGCCATATGCCCCAACTTCCTCCACATATCCCCTTGAACCAACATTCCTTCTCTCCCCTCCCACTTCTTGCAGACCGCCTCGGCATTTGCAATCGCCCTCACAAGCTTACAGGCATGTCCATCATCCTCCACATCATTCACCCTCTTGATAACTTCGTCCATACCGCTATCCTTCGTGGGCGCGTAGCCGGTAATCTCATCCACGAGGAGAGTTGGACAGCCGCGCGAAACGTACATTGCGATATCCATCCAAATCTTCCATTCTAGAAGTCGGCGTTGGATCGCTGGAGACAGGGAGGAAGAGGGAGACAGAAACGCGGAGAAGAAGATACTCGAATTTAGGCAGTGGATAAAGTAGAAGTCAAATTTGACTTGATGGGGTGGACGTTGCGCAGCGGCTGTGTAGTATACTGTTGTTGAGTCGTGTTAGTGTGACGTTGATGGAACAGTATGGAACAGAATGGGGAAGGAGAAGAACTGCTCACGTACCAACGGCGTTGATCATCTCAGCTGTCTTTTCCTCTAGTTCTTCTTCTTTGACGGTATACTGCGTCGCATACTTGATCATCTCCTCAGGCGCTCTTTTGATGATTCCATCTCGGACCTTGTTTCCATCGTCCCAGTGCGCGGCCTTGCTCAACTTGTCGTCTTTCTTGCATTCCTCCAGTATCTGCACAATTGTCTTCCTCGGTCCATCCTTGCTTCTGCTTTCTTTAGCAGCCTTTTCGCACCCAAAGAACAGCGATGCTATCCAGTTATCGTGTACGGCGGCCTGCGCTAGCGCCTCCGCAATAATGGCGGGCTGCTGGAACTCGATGCCAAATCCAAGATGTATGATGGGATGCAGAAACCCAGCAAACATGCGCGCCAGCATATCATCTGCAAGTTCAGTTTCAGCAAACAGATGCTCCTGCAGTACGCGCTGCCACCCGCTCTTGTCTATCTCTTGTTGGAAGTAGACAAGGAAGTCGTGGTAGTATTTTTCTTGCCCGAGGTAGGACTTGAAGCGCTCGGGCTCATGCATGTCACTGACGATGGCCTTTTCGAGCGGTTCTGATGGGCGTTGATAGGATACATTTGCGTCGTATGCCTTTTGGAGTTCTTCTGGCGAAGCGTTGAGCGCGAACAGAGTGAGGAGATGATGGGCGATGTGGTTCTGAATGGACTAGTAAGCCTTCATAAGTGCTGATGTCACTGACATATCTTACATGGAACCCGCTCTGATTGAAGAAGATATGATGCTTCTCGTGGTTGACTTGCAAAAGCTGGCTCGCCTTTTCTGCGCTCTCAGCCTTAAGTCCTTGGACGTAGAACTGGGGCTTCTGCAAAGCCTCAAGATGAACCTTTGAACCGGTAGCCATGGCTCTCAGTGAACGCGCAAGGCCGCGTTCTTGTAAGCGTGGAATATGATTGTATGCTGACGATGAATAGAAGCTCAGTTTGTGGATGGTCGACAATGCGCGTACAGTATGTGCGAACATCTACAAGAGAGCTGCTCAGCCTGCCTCAAGGTCAACGTATTTAGCAGGACGATTGACGAGTCTAGGATATTGCATCCTTATATGTTTAGGTGTCGCAAATATGAGAAGCGCGAAGTCCGAGTTGCGATGCGATGGCTATGACGTCTGTGGGGAACCCTGTCTCGCCTCTGGGTCCACCCCTCCGTTGCGGACCTCCGCTCAACGTAGAAATGTCAGCTCGGATCTTTCGGTGCTTACGCAACGCGAGGTTACGAAAACAGTTCAATTTCCCCGCAATTGTTCCTAATGCTTTAGTTGCCAAGATCTTTACGATGTACGACGAAGATCGTAACAATATAGGTGCTTGGATGATTCAGATTGGACGAGCCAAATATCCTCTTATCGTTGGTACATATTCACAAATCGCTGCATTGTCGAAGGGAAATGTTTTCATTCCAGTACAAAGTCCACGTACACGGCTTCTTGCGTGCGCTCAGTCTTGTGGGTATAACTCCTAATGCCTACCCAAACACCCTGCTATGCATCATATCATGAAACGTTATCCTCTACTTATAAGGCAAAAACTCGTTCTCTTGCCGCGAGGCAACAATCATCCCGAGTATTTCTTGGCCTCCATGCCCTCGGGTGGTTCGGGAGTTATGGTCTTGTTGCCAACGTTACTCCAGTCGGTACTAAGGACTGTGCCACCGCTTTCCGAGTAGCTCTTCATCATAGCTCGTTGCTGCTCGGGGGTGGCGCCGCTGTACAGCTGCTTGAAGAAGTGTGATGTCTCGTCGCCCTCAATCTCGTCTTTGTCGTCGAGATCGTTCACCACGACCTTATCCCAATTCTTCGCACCTGACTTGGAGGACGTTGGGTATGCAGGGGCGGTGTCTTTGGTTGTGCGGACGGGCATTGAAATAGTAGATGCTTCAGTAGAGCCAACGTCGCCGTCGGGGTGCTCAAGATCATGCCATTTCAGCCCCGTGGTTGCCTTGCGCATTGTTATCTCCAACTTGGTGGGTGTGACTCGATATTTCGATTGTGAAGGGTCGATCTTTTCGTATAGAGGGTCGGCGCTGTAGCTGTAATCCGACGAGTCGGCAGTGGGGAATGCGACGGACACGGATCGCTCCTCGAATTCTACGCTGACTTTGTCTTTGGCCACACCTTTGGCCATGATTGTAAGGGTAACAGTTTCAGGCGACTGGTACCAATCGGTCTTGATTTTGTCTTTCGGGGTTGGAGCGACAGGCTTCGGGGCCTGGGACGGGGCGGGCTGCTCGGCCTTCGCTGGGGCGGCAGAGACTGGTGCGCTGGGCACATCGACCTCGGGAGTCTCCTTGACGGTGACCTTCCTCCTCTCGTCGTCTTCTGGTACATCCTTCAACTTTGTTGCAACCTTGGACTCCCAAATGGGCAGCATCTTGTCCTTCTCGTCAAGGCCCTTTACGATTTTCAGCAGATGGTCGGCATCTGCATATCTTCCGAGGTGGAACAGTGCGACGGCGCGTCGGAACTGGGCGTCCTTGATGAGCTCGCGCGAGCCGCGTTTCTTTGCGAGGACAACGGCGAGTTCGGCATCGCTGAGGGATTCGGCGTATTTGGCAGTGCGCTGGTAGGCTGTCGCGCGGCCGATGTAGTATTTGACGGCCGTGGTGTTGACTGCGAGCGCCTTGGTGTAGTATTCAATCGCTTCGTCGGGTTTGCTTGCGCTGAGAGCAGCGTCGCCTTTGCGGGCGTCGTCCATGGCGGGGTAAGGTATGTCTAGTTGAGCGAAAGAATAGGCGTGGAAGCAATGTAAAGCGGGGTAAGAGGTGCGACGGCCTTTATAGAGGCTTGCTCTCGAATGCTGGTGAAAGTAGTTGGTCTTGGTACAATCACAACCATGGAAGCTTCCATTGCTGCCTTCGAAACCAGGGTCCACGCCGCTAGCCTCTCTGCATCGCATCCACATTGGTGGGGTCATGTTTGACAGGCACACTTCGCCAACGCCAGCAAACATTTCTTAGTCGACATTCACTTTCAGAAGTCAGACGAATCGTGCGAGGAACGAGCAGCATGTTCATGTATGTATGTATTACTACACAAAAGACCCCGCATCTGTGACGACCGAGGTATATACAATGCCGACTATGGCAGTCAAAAACTCCAGAAACAAGTAAAACGATTCTTCTACATCTATCCCATATGCAGCTCACAGAAAGACACAAGCTTTGCACATCTCAGCAACGAGCCACCTAGAATACAATGGCGGCACCGAAGAGAGCGCTGGCAGCGATCATTGCGACGAAACGGAGGGGTACGTCGAGACCAGCAGCAGCACCCTCGGGGTTGCCAGCACCGCCGCTGGAGCCAGGAGTGGGCGAGCGAGTGGGGCTTCCAGATCCGGGGGTAGCAGTAGACTCGCTGGGTTCACCAGAGAAGTGCGAGCCATCGCCCTCAAGACCAGGACCCTCACCGGCACCTTCATCCATGAACGCCATAGCCTTGCTGGGAATGGCAGGGAGGGTGGTGCCCTCGACTTGCCACTCGTCAGACTCGGAAGGGCACTCAGAGGCCTCGCCGTTCTCCTTGAAGCCACCAGCGCCGGAGGGGTTAGCAGTCTTCTTGTAAGCCTCAGCGAGGCGCTCGAAGTCCTCGTTGGGCGAGATTTTGCCATCGTCGCCGACCTCGACAAGACCGTAACCGTTGGGCTCAACAGTGTATTCGTAAGCGAGACCACCAGAGTAGACGCCGGTCATGTTGGTGGAGTAGAGAGCCTCGATCTCGCCCCACTGGCGGGTGTTGGTGATGCAGCCAAACTCAGACAGGAAGATGGGCTTGCTGTAGTCCTCGTAGGTCTTGACCTTCTGGTCCCATCCAGACTGGGTGAAAGACGAGGGATCGCACCAGGAGTAGTCGTTGAAGGCAAAGAAGTCGGAGCGCTCATCGTCAGTACCGCAGTTGAAGTAGAGAGCCTGGAACTCGATGTTCTCGGAAACATCGGCGGCAGAGTATCCGACGGGAATGACACGGTTGTGCCTGTTGGAGATGTACTGCTTCATGTCACGAGTGACAGCCTTGATGTAAGGAGCAGCGTTGGTGTTGTTCTTCGCGTTGATGACCTCGTTTCCGGAAAAGAAGAGGAGCAGGTTGTTGTAGTCGGCAAAGGCGTCGATGGTGGCAAAGACGGACTGGAGGTACACATCGTTGTACGAGCGGTGGAGGGTGTCCTCGTTCTCACGGTTGAGAGAGTAGTCGGGCGTATTGGCATCGAGCGCCAGGTAGATACCAGCGTCGTCGAGCATCTTCATACCCTCATCGTGGTTCTTTGAGTTGTCGATGGTGTAGATACGGACAGTGTTGATGCCGAGCGACTTGAAGTTCTCGACATCGCGTGCGAGACCCTCGAGGTCGAGCAGAGGGTCTTGTGCGTCGGCGGCACCACCTAAACACTGTTAGTACCGTGGTTTTTTATTCCTTGTGACACAAAGACGGACCTGGCTGGTAGGCAACGCCGCGGACGTAGAAACGCTCATCGCCGGCGAAGAAGGCATTGCCCTTGACGGTGACCGGTGGCAGCTTTCCCTTTGACTGACGGGCGACGACGCTGGCAAAGGCGGGAGCAATAGCGGCTCCCAAGATGGAGAAGACGACAGAGGTCTTCATGACGGGCGCAGGAGAAGAGGTAGAATTAAAAGGCAAATAGAAGAGCGATTGGAAGTCTAACGAGTGACTGGTAAAGTAGGAAAGGTAATTCTCACACAAAGGGCATGCAAACGTCGAGGCGGAAGCCGGGCTAGCGACAGTATTTGAAGCGGCAACAGAGCAATTTCTTGGTTACCCCCGAGTGCTACATGTGGAACTTGCCAACCCTCATGGGTTGTCTGGCGCTGCTGCGCGCCAAGTCGATGGGTGTTGGCGGGCGCGCAGGAATCGCGGAGACCAAGCAGCCAAGTCCATAGTCATGAATTAGCAGAAGCCCGCCGAGCCTTGGTCAGGGGCAATAAGCCGAATGACTGGCAGGCGCATGCCTGGACGACGTCTTGATCGCGAGGGAATTGCGCGTCCGTCCATTTCCCGCCGCTCTACACAGCCTCGTTGAGAGAATCAAGACTTTGTTCGCTCCAGCACAATCTGCTGGTTCGAGGCGATCGCGATGGTATGAAACGACTGCGCGCTTGGTCCTCACCAAGGAAATGACGGCCATCGCATTCCGAAAGAGCTTGGTAGAGGACGCGGTACCGTGGAAGGCCCTTTGCTGACGGCATCATTGCAGCTATGCACAGACTCCAGCTTCATTGCGATGCCACTGTTAGTTCACCATCGTCGCGCGACGGCATTGTTTGCCGGGTCGCAGTCGCGCTTTATCGCGGCCCGTGGAGATCCGAACTCGGGGAGTGTAGCTGCAGGTGGCAAAAAGCAGATCGTCCATCTACCCGCGCAGTGCGGGCATACGAATTGTTGAGGTCGGTAGGCGAAGTATGGTTCCGTGGTGTTTGTGAGTCGCTGGTTGCAGCGTGACAGCTGCCGCATCCGGGGCCCCAGCCCCGATAAGATGATCCGCCCGGTCGCGTGGTTCCGACACGCGTTCACTCTTGTCTACCACCGTTCCCCAATTCTACATATATCACAATCATCTCACGAACGAGCAGATTCTCAAATTCAAGACCGCAGCGTCTTCAGTGCTGGGGTCAGGTCACCGACTGTCTGAGACAATCTGCCAAGCTCGGCCACAGCAATCTGCCGCAACAAGCAATGGCACCGAAGATTTCTGCGACGAGAAGTAATGCCTCCGCCAGCCGTCAATGCTCCGGAGAACCGACCTCGATAGCTGTGTTCTTCATCTCTCGGGTTCTGACTAATGCTTGTGTTTGAATTAGCTCTGCGTGCTGACGAAGTTTCTTTCGAGTCCAGGCCATGTCTGTTCAGACCGGTGTCAGCCCTGCAAAGAGACGGACAAGCTTACATGTACTTCAAGACAATCAAAGCTCCCACTACAACCTTGACACGACAGAAACTCGGTCTATGCGGGACTAATCTTATGGGGCTGTAGGTTGCGCCGTCATTATTGGCTACGATTCCATTTAACACACGCAAACGCAGACGTATATTTCTGGTATTATTTGCCGACCCCATAAGTTCATGCCATGATGATGAACCAAAAATACCGCCGTGTCTGCTGCATCGTCGCGCCAACTATAGTTTCATGTGCTTGCGCGCCCCCAAAGAGCAGCCGAGCTGCATGCGCACCCTGGTCGCATCGTCGCCGTCAGCGAACCACAACGGAACTGCAGGCGCCACACGAGCTATCATCCAGCGGCGAGGTTTGCGACCCCAATTATATAGCAAAAACGCGCAGTCGGGTTAAGTGAAGGCAAATGGGCGCAATATATTGCGGCGAGGGCAAAGGATCCGCTCGGGCGGGTGCGAGGTGATAAAGAACTTCCTTACCCGCGCCTCCCAGGTCACTCACCAACCGCCAAAATGCTTCAAACAATGCTCTTCACGTCGCTGCCGCTTCTGACGGCGGCGGCGTATCTAGACCCCTCGCTGCAACAGCAAAAGCCGTTGCTAGACTCCAAGCCAGCGTCGTCACGTGCACTCACTCTCACAGTATGTAGAACAACCGATCTTATCTTGGTATCAAACTGACACCCCAGCAGCTGGACCAAAACCTTCACTACATCTTCGCTGCCTCCGACGATGACTTCACGCGTACCCGTCTCGACCAACTCCAAGGTCCATTGGTTGGGTACGGCATCGAAGAGGTCGCCGACCACGCCATCACCATCAACATTCCCCTCAACTCTTCGCTCAAGGGTACCGCTACATTCTCCAGTACACGTCAAGCAGCACTTTGGCCCCAGTCTACCGATCAGTTCACATGGACCCCACAGCTACCACTGCATACCCTGTTCATGCTAGGCGCACGCATCCCCATGCTAGACATTGGCATCAGGAAGGATGGTATGCTTACCATGCCTGCTAAGTCCGCGACTCTCGATCTAAGCACACCCTACATATACGTTCCAAAGGGTATCTGGGACGTCTTGCTGCTAGCTACGACTACCGAACAGCAAGCCAGGGACGGCGAGGAAGTGCTGTACGTAGACTGTGGGGCGTTGAGCGTCTTCCCTGATCTGGTATTTGGTATGGCACCAAGTGAGTGTGGGGGTGGTGAGGAGATGGCAGACGACGTCGACGATGGTGAAGAGGATTATGACGAGGACCAGGAAGAAGATTACGGAGAGCTGGTCATTACACCCGGACAGTACGTCTTGCAGACTCCGGAGGGGAAATGCATGCTTCTGGCTAGGAACGCAGACGCAGACTCTCCTCCTGATGTACAGGGAACAGTCAGTCTTGGTTGGGCCGCGGTGAGGGGTCGCGAAGTCATACTGGATCGGCATGTTGGACGCATTGGCTTCGAAAGGTCAGTATGAGAATGCAGAAGGCGGAAGAAGAACTAGCGTTGGATACCCACATGATGAGATCCATGTCCGCAACTCTCGTAGTAAATTTCAGAAGAGAGTAACTGAGCCTCAATTCAACCGCATGACGACGTCGATACTGTTCGTGGTGACCTGGACATGACAACATGGACAACAGCAGAATTCGCACATCATAGACGGCAAGGCATAACATTATGCAAGCTAGCTCTATACAAGTCGTACCCTCTACATCAAGCAGAAGCTGAGCGTGACCGCGCCAACAGTCGCAAGCAGGCCCGTCCACCCGACTCTAAGCCCACTTGCTGCATCCTCATCATCACCTCCTTGTGCACTTCCATCGCCTGTGCTTTCAGGGTTAGAATCACCCTTACCCTGCTGCTGATCCGAGCTCGTTACACTGCCCGCTACACAAGCGCTCTCATCCATGCCTCCATCATTACCAAACGCCACGTTCGCCGCCTTCTCCCACAGACTCGTCACATTGAAGTAATGCCCCGGCTCATACCAGATCCGGCAACTTGCTGTGTCGTTCAGGAACTGTGTTGGCACGCCCGCCGACTCGAAGCCCGCGCGGATGTTGTCTTGGAAGTTTACGCTGGCGTCCATCACGGCGATGGGCGGGGCTGTGGGAAGGAATTGAGCCCAGTCGTTGGCTTCTGAGCGGGAAGAGGCGAATTCAGCGGTTACGTATGTGGTAAGGGCTTCCATGTAAAGAGTAGGGATCACCAACGTTCCCTTTGTGCCGCCAACGGCTACCATGGGACCGAGGTTCGGACGGCCACCGATAGCGAGACTGCGTACGCCAGATTGCTGGACCATGAGTTCGACGAAGATGGAGCAGGTTGAGGCGCAGACGCCGTCGGTAAGCAAGATGATGTCTTCGGCGCGGAAGGGGTCCGTGGTGAAGTTGCTGCGCTCGTTGTAGCCTGTCATGGTGATGCCGACGGCGGTGCGCTCGCTGCTTGTCGTCAAGGGGTCACTGAGGTTGTATTTCAGTAGAGCAGTAAACTTGTCGTTATTGAATCGCTCAGGTGGGTACATTGCGTTCCAGTCCGAAAATTCGTCGCCAGTGGAAGAGAGGTAGGCGTCGTTGCTGAAAGGGCTCGTGAAGAGTTCGGCATTGAGAATATTGATCTGCTTGAAGCTCGAGATATTCTCACCGAAGACCTCGCTGGCTCGGTGTCCACGGTACCGGTTTTGGGTCTGTGGTTGTTGGGTCGGGAAGAATTGCAGGTACATGTCGTAACCAGAGAGTACCTTGCCGCCGTTGTTGGCACGTAGATCAATGATGATCTTCTCTACGCCGCGGGACTTGGCCTCAGAAATGTACTCCTGAACTACGGCTTGGAACTCCTGGGCACCTGCGACATCTTCTGTGTTGAAAGTCGTCACCACCAATACACCAATCTCGCCAACACCGGTGTTGACGAAGAAGCCAGCCAACGGCACCTGATCTGCCGAGTGAGCGACGACTGGTTCCGGGTAAAGCAACGGCACCGAAGCGTGTTGTTGCGCGAAAGTACCCCTAAACTCGTAGTCGCGCGGATTCTCCAGATGTAGAGGCATCTTGGTAGGATCCCTCTTCTTGATCCTCATCGAGCTTGTCTGGGGTACAATGTAGGTCTTGTACAACGATTCAGCATCGCTAACGTAGCCCCAAGACTCGGGTTGAAGGACAAGAGCACCGTTGCTGTACGTATTGATCGTGCCGTTCTCATAAGTTACGTTGGTAGTAGCACCGGGATAAAACCTTGGACTGGTGAAATACCCATAGTTCTCCGCTGCTTGCGAGAAAAACATTGCGTTGTAACGCGAATCAGGATCATGGTAGGCGTTCAAGTTTGCTTCGTCCTGCAGAAAGCTCTCGACATCTCTTCCGTCGATTTGCGTAACGGGCGAGGGATCATACCCAACTGTGCCGTTGAAGTCCTCCAAAGCCCAGACTTGGGGTACGTCGCTACCATCTCTTGATGCAGAAACAAGGGCAAAAGCGCTGCTTCGTCGCCACCTGAATATCCCTGCGTACGCCATTCCGTTCCAGCCCAAATGCCCGTCGTGCGCTTTTACCAACAAGGATGCAATGTCGGTCTCGAAATCAAATTCGTTATTGTACTGCCCAGATCCGACTTTGTTTTTGATATCATCCAGACCAGCGACGATGTCAACAGCGTCATTTGGCCATCCTTTTGGCGGGTCTTTGAGATAGCTGAGAGTCGATTGGAACTCTACTCCCTTCTTGATCTCGTCGATTGTTGCTGATGCGTCGTCTGCGTAGAATGGTAGTGATTTGAGACAAGCGTGTGCGAGTTCAGCATCTACGGCCGGAAAGTCTGAGAAATCATCCGATACCAACTGCGCTATCTGTCCACAGGCTTCGCTGGTCTCTATTGGTCCAGAGACATCCTCTATAGTCGTGGGATTGACTTCGATGTCATCTATTGATGATGGTGTTGGTGTTGATGTAGGTACGATGTCGAAGGTTTGTGAGGAGTCGCTGAAGTCTATCGAACTTGTCTGTGCCGTGGCAACTACCAGGAGCGCTGATAGCGCAATGAAGGACCTCATGATACCGGAATAATGCGGGGTGTATAGTGTGATGTCCAAAGGTTCGGAATACGAATACGGAGCGATCAGGTGTCTGATCGTTCAACACGTAGGGCGTTGTGGATGTAACGTGGTCAAGTCTCGCGTCTGATCCGTCTCTTTTGTCGTCTTGTTCTAGATATAACAATAGCTTGGGATGCCACCCCAACCCGTATATCGTGTCCGATCTTGTTCGTTGGTGTTTCGTGAACCGCCGTCAATATATATTCTCAGAAGCGGCCAAGATCTGTGCGGGTATGCCTCGATATCCTGCGATACACGCTCCTCGACCCAGCTCTTTCTATCCAGCTTTGGAAAAAGTCGCGAGCAGCCTCAACACGTGGGCACCGTCGCCATCTTAATCACAACGCGCATTGCATAGCCTTGTCACCTGTAAGGCCATAAACAGTAGCGGCCGCTGCCTAAACAGCGCCCCCATCTCGTGTACGTCTGCCGCGCTTTGTTTAGGTCTTGGCTGTAAGGACCCTGCGCGTTGCCCGCCTTACGCGTGTCGCTCAAAGTAGGCTGGCGTTGTGGCATCTGGGTGTACTGAGCAAATCAGACGAGGAAACATGGGACGGAAGTGGATATCTGCGGGTAAGCGGAGTACTGTGAGTGGATTCTGTCGCAGCGGCTAAATCCTGTGGCGCTGCCCTCCTGCGGCGCTGCATTTCGACATGAAAACCCCGGTATTTGTGTTTCATGCTCGTCGGATTTGTGATTTCGTAGGTGTTGGTGCTCGTGAGGCTGAGTGCTGTTGTGATCGCTTGTATCTCCTGAGTGTTTTCGGTAGCGACTGCTTTCTCTGCTATGCGCACCTCGCATGCCAAGGATTAGGCACGCCCACTAAAAGCGCACGATCCGGCCACGATCCGAGAAGGGCTAGACGCCGCAACCCAGCCATTCGGCACAGTCTCAGCCGACTGGTGAGGTCATGTCTTGCGACGGCACGCCGAATCGTGTATGAGCTGAGAATGCGCGCAATTGTGCCGTCGGCTTGGGGGCCTTGGAGTGTGACGTCTAGTTTTTGTGGACGCCCGGCACGCTCAAGGCACATTGCTCATAAGGGCCCACCACGAGAAACGGTGCCAGGCTTGCAGTAATTTCACTGACGGCTCATGTCGAACGAGTTGTGCGAATTTGACTAAACCGGCCATCTCATTGACTAGAGCTGTGCATATCGCTCTGCTTCTTGATACCTACGACGACAAGGTTGCGCGGACTGTACTTGTATTCAAACACGGGTTCAACCCACGCATGTTCAACTTCTTCCTGCTCCTTGAGCCACAAGTATCGATCTGTCACGACGACAGCTTCGACTACGCCAGCGCTGAAGGCCATCAAGCTCCACATGACGCTCAATTCTTTCTTTCTCTCAGCATAGCTGACTTCGTAATTCCTGATGTCTTCATCTGTCAAACCATCCATTTTTTCTCTTATGAACTCAGGATCAACCTGACAGAAAGAATTCTCTGTTGTGAGTTTCGCTAGCGCAGCTCGAACGTAGGAGACGAAATCGCTGTATGCAAATTTGCGCAATGTGCCTATAGTGAGGGGCGTGGTTGTACCGTCCGAAGATAGGCCAGGGCCACGACCGTTTGGAGGGGACCAGTTCACTTGCGAGGTGTGACCATTAGCTGAGACTGCGCTGCCAACAAGGCCTTGCTCGTCTAAAGGTGCCGAAACGACGCCACGATCTAGGAAGATGCGCTGGAGTAGAGCTCGATAAAAGTGGCGAGTGAAGAAGAGTTCTGAGTCGGCCACGCCCCAGTTGAAAGGTGCCTGCACAGCCATCATGCGGGCTGTGATGTTGAGACGTATACCCTTTGGTCGTTCAGGGTTGCCAGTATCTGCTTCCGAGCCGTCATCTGACCGTTCCAGAGGTGTATGTGGCAATGGGTAATTTGCGAGTTTCTCTGACATGGGAAATCCGTTTGGGTCAAACGCTTTGGAGGTAGACTCGAGGCGTGGATGATTAGGACGGAGTGTAGGGAGCTTATAAGTAGGAGGTCCAAGACGTTCCGTGACCAGATTGTAACAACACCCTACCATGGCTACTGCGGAAATATGTGGGTTGAGAAGCATGGAGCGTAGTCCGAAATGAACGAGATTGCCGCATGAGTGCAGCGAAATGACCATTGCGTTTACATCCTTTGGTTTGGGTACAACGTTCAAGTCAGTAGCTTCGGCGACCACGGCTGTTTCTGAGGTCACCGCCTCTTCGGGTACGCTAGAGCTGTCCAGTACTTGATCGATGACAGGTGTCAGATCACCACCCTTAATGATGTGTTCAACGTACTGTACGCTGCCATGGCCTTCATTGTATATTTGTAGAGTAGAAGTCTTGGTAGTCGGAACGGGATCTGAGGCGGCTTCCGAAACTGGATGCGGTGCGCAGCCATCTTCATCGCAGTTCACGCCGTTCTGGGGTAGTGAAGCTGCTACAGGATCTTGAGTAGCTGAAGCGGATGTTGCTTCCTGATCATGACCATTCGTGGCTGAGTTGTTCCCCTTGGTATTGGATGAGATGGATTCATAGAGCAAAGCCGTAGTCTCAGTGTCTTCGGTCTTGTTGCCCTTCTTCATTTTGCCCATTTTGGCGCGGTACTCCTTCTTGTTCCTCATAACAATGGGCTTGGCTACCAACTTGGCTAGGATGTCCATGTTTTTCGCGCCCTCTATATTGTGCTGTTTACTTTCCACAGCAACGATGTGCTTGGAGTAAGGTGAAGCAGCAAGCGCGCGCCCAAGATAGTTCTGACCAGAGCCGAAGTCGACAAGATGGGTAATGGGTTTCCTGTCAGACTGTGCTATCTCGGAGGTGAGTCTGTCAATGTAGCGCGCAAAGTTGTCAACCTCGTGCACCTTTTTCACTTTCATCCCGGTTGCGATGTGACGTGATATAGTAGCTTTCTGAGGCTCAATGCCCGAGTTTGGCGGAGGAAAGTCGCGAGCTAGCAGATGCTTTCGCACGGTGCGAATATAATCTAGCAGTTCCTCGGGAGGCGCAGATCCATCCCGCCAGGTGTTTTCGCTGGGTTCTCTCTTAACGTCGAACTGACTGAGGTCTTCCCTCATCAGTAGGTCCAAGATGTCCATGATATCTCGCGTCTTGAACCAGTCTCTCCATGACTGCGGCAAGACATGGGAGTAGAGATCAGGTGAGCGAGTGTAGAAGTCCAGTATGTGAACGCCTCCGCAGAGCGTCTGAAGTAGCCATGAGGAAGTAGTCAAATTGAGCAGCGACTCGACGTATTCCTCAGTATTAGTGAATTCGGCAGGAAGCGGAAGACTCGTTTCCGGACCCATGCTTTCATCCAGGGTCTTTTAGACGGATGGTGTGATTTCGTGAAATCGGCAGTCTTGGTGAGGGATGCGCCATCGGGAAGGCGTGGTGGAGTTGACTGTGCTGTGGGCGATATTTTTTGGGAAGGTGGGTCCGTGCCGAGGTGTTGTGGCGCGTCATCGCTCGTACTGGACAGCTTATCGACACGCTCCAACATCCTCACCCCAAGCTTCCACGCGCCCCTCTTGCTTCCTGGCCACATTCTGGAGGTGCAATTCGCGTCGCATAACCCAGGATGATGTCATCACAGACCGATGAGGATCCTTTCCTCCAGGTACAGGCGTAAGACGTCCCCGTTCGCGTTTAGGCATCTTCATTGACACTTGTCCCAGAGACGTGCTTTCCGCCCTCAACACCGCGCGCCCGCTATTCAAGTCGTATCTGCGTATTCGATCCTCGGCATCATCGGCAAACAGTCCCGAGCTCCGTGAAGCTCGCAGCGAACTTGAACAGACACTCCAAGACCTCAGCCAGGATCTCGAGGATCTAGTGGAGAGCGTCAAGGCCGTGGAGCATGACCCCTATCGCTTCGGTCTTGAGATTGACGAAGTCGAGCGCCGCAGAACACTAGTCAGGGATGTCGGCTCCGAGATTGAGCACATGCGCGAGGAACTGCAGGAGACGGTCCAACACGCGAAGAACAAAGGCAAGATCGCAGCCAATGGCGATGTTCTACCTGATCCAGATTCCTTCGAAGATGACGACAACTACGCGGCATTTGAGCAGGAAAGACAGATGGAGATGATGCATGAGCAGGACGAAGCCCTCGATGGCGTCTTCCGCACCGTCGGCAACCTCCGCCAACAAGCCGACGACATGGGCCGAGAGCTTGAAGAGCAGGGCGAACTACTTAGCGACGTCGACAATGTGGCAGACAGGGTGGGTGGCAAGCTGCAGACAGGCCTCAAGAAGGTTGGCTGGGTCATCAAGCAGAACGAAGGTAAGATAACTGGCTATCGCTAGACAGGCGTTGCTGACCTACCCCCCTAGACACATGGTCCAGTTGCTGCATCGGCGTGCTTATATTCGTCCTCATTCTCCTCCTCGTGCTGCTCTTGTTCCTATGAGCACGCAGAAATACCCACTCCAACCTGAGGCACACACGGAAGCCGCGTTCCCGAGCCCTGCCGCCGAAACATCAGCGCCGTTCATCATACACCCTTTGGTGCTGAAGGGACTGGTCGATCGCCAGGGATCAACATACCCGCAGTTTGTGATTTCGTTGAAGCGAGGATCATCTTCGCCGCTGCATAGCTGACGGACACGTGTAACGAAAGCATTAGCCTTCGTCGCAATCCTGCCTTAGCCCGGCTGTTGGCTTGCACTGCCGGTGCTACTGTGCGGCAACTTATCTGGGGTATCCATCCCTCATTAGCGCCCTTGCATGAATGCATTGCGTATGCAATGAGGGTGTTGCCCGACAACGAACACCCTACACCGCTTGCGCGATCGACTCGAACTTGTTCATAATGCGAAAAGCAACAGAGCAAGCGAGCCTTGTGGGGATGCGACATACAGCGGTTTGTCCCAAGTGCGCCATGGATCCACGAAGTCTCCATATTCCAATAACGACCTCCTCAGTGTCTGGTTGTTCACGAGGCTTTACTCGCCACGATGAACACACCGAAACTGAGGACAGAACTGGAAAGCAGGAACAGAACAGCCGCTCAACGCACATAGCGTTGCCTTTGAGACGCTGCATGTTTGGGATGTGCAGGCCCTATCCAAGAACCTTCCTGAGAACCATCATCGACATTGCTTCTTATTGAGCCATTCCATACCAATAAACTACCTTGACTAGGCATTGTCAGTATTCAATTGATGTTTTCACGATAACAAGTCTGCCTTCGCCTCGCTTGCGGATCGTCACTTCCGGATGACTAAATCAGACAGCAAAAACAGTCGACCTGAACAGCCGTCCGCCAAGCCCGAGTACGAGACGGCTCAAGTCAACACCAGAAGCTCGCGTCGAAAATCCACTCTCATTTTCATTACGCTCCTGCTTAACGCACTGTTCTGGAGTGCTCTCATTTGTTCTGTCACTTCACTGTATCAGATCATATCTGATCCGTGGGATGTAACAAACATCATACCTGTGGTCTTGAACTTAACTTCTGTATGTACTTGGATTTTTCTAATAAAGGCTAACATTGACTAAACTGCGCAGGCTCTCGCAACAATTGCATACACTTGTGTCCATACAATATTTTCTATCAAGCAGAGGATTTGGGAAGAACAATGGCGACACACGTCCGCCGTCAGAAAGACTTCCTATATTGCCATCCGTCTAGTGGTCTCGCTATGCGTTCTCTGGCTATTAACCTCTGGATGGAACATGGTTCTCGTCGCAAGGAGACCTATTTGTCTGCAACAGGCACCAGGTCTTCAAAGCTGGGAATCTGGTTCCACTTGCTTATGTGGACGTATTGGAACTACTTTCGCCGCCATTTCACTGTATGCTAAAGAAGTCAGAGAAACTGATGTCAAAGCTAACTAGTTAATCAGTATTGCCTCGTTTGTTCTGTTTGGCGTACTCGCCGTCGTCAACCGTCCTTTCGAAGCTCATTTGTTCAAGCACGGTTACCGAGAATCTGCAAACGCATGGCATCCGCCACACTCTTCTAATGGGTCATCAACCACAGGAGATCGCATATGTACGTGTGAGAAGGACGCCTGCCGCCGTCATGCCACGCCGACACGGAGGAGCAGCTCGTCAGGATCCAGAGTCTTTACTTCGCATCATGCCCCGCCACCTATACCCTCTGCTTTTATGGCCTCGTATCGTAAATCCTCTTTCGATACTGTACCTTCTGCATCACAGCCCTCTGCCAACCGTGGAACTTTGAACCGCCCGCCTCTTTCGTCGCGTTCAGCAAGCAAATGCGACTCCGGACCTCTGTTCACGCAGGCCCGGTATTCGGCATCTACATGGCGCGCCATTCATCCAGAGGGATCGCATCTCACACTAAATGCATCGCACCCGCGCCCTTATTCACGCGATCTTGATCTTCGTCATAGCATCCGACACTCACATTCCTCGATGTCCCTCACTCGTCCAAGTCGCCTGAGCTCTCTGAGCACTGTTTCACGAAGTGGCTCTAATGGTTCCAAGAGCCGGGATCACACCTTTGGAGTTCCTGATCACGGCGAAATAGCCAGTCCCAATGAGATCGCGTATGCTATCACAAAGGGAACACCCATACCTGGCACTGAACGTGTCAGAGGTCTTGACAGACACCACATCCGCACTGTCAGTGCCCCAAATCATACCTTCCCTTCTCAGCAGAAGCCTGGCTTCGTTTTCGACGCGATTGTCGTCACTCGAAAACCGGTACCGGTTCGACGATTGAGATCTGCGTACCGTGTGCGGACCTTAAGTACTTCCAATCCAGAAGTCGAAAGCTACATGGCTAGCCAAGGGCTTGGAGACTTCCAGCACCCTAACAACCGATCGGAATATACTGAATTGGGCATGAGTAGACGGATGACGTTTGAGGAAGTGAAAAATAAGCCCTTGCCGAAGATTGCCGTCTTCTAGCACCGGATTCAAACCAACCTTCGACTGCAACTCAACTATACGAAAATGATTAAACTGCAGACCATTGATAGTCCTACATACGCTCCTCCACAAACCGTTTATAGGTTGAAAATAAACAGAGCGCTCGCCAGCAGCAAAAGCTAGCGAACGTTCGCTCAGAGAGGTCCTGGCGGAATACAAACGGTGGGACGGGCTGTCTGTGCGTCTCCTTGGTCGCATCCCACGCGCATCACTGATCACTGCTGATGGGCTGCTGTTGGTCGCCCTTAGGATCAGCAGCGCCACCCGTCAGCTTACAGCGGATAGTGGGTGACTGACTTGCTATAAGGCGACCAAAGTACTCTTATTGGCTGTATGCGTAAACGTCAGCGATACATCTAGAATGTCGCGTGGGCGTGACTCGTCACCACCAACATTGACCGTCTACAATTGTTCTGGACTGGTAATTCCCGTCAGAAAATTCGGCTCCTGTTCACGGGACCAACTCTCTGGCCTTCACGCGCCAGCCGACTGGGATGCCCCGCCTCCTGACACATATCGGGAGAAGACATTATTCCAGCACTGGTCTCGTATGCTCGAAACCGTGTCACCTCTTAACAGATATGCACGCTCAAAAACGCGCAAGACGTGGGCATATTCATAAGGATCCGGTCTTGATCGCTATACAAGCTCGCGAATCGACCACACATTCAGCAAATTAGGGAAGAATCAGCTCAATATTGAACGAAATCTTTCCTAGCACGGGCTCACATACGACTTATTGCACCATCTGCTATACACGCATGTGACAACACCCATGGCTTTTAAGCCAGTGTGCTGAGTACAACCAACAACCAGTCAACAAAAATTCAACACTTGGCAGCTTATCTCACCTTTGCGAAGGCATCAGCGAGGTCTTCTACCATGAATCATCTATGGACTATACCCGGAAAAGGCATGCGCCACCAACTAGGGCGACTGGAAAGACTTCGAGAGTAGAGCTTCTGTGACACACATGATGAGAATAAAGAGGCTTGCTATACGTAACAAGGGCAAGTTAGATACAGTATGCTGAGGCTATCAGAATGTATGGGTACATGGCTTTCATGCTATAAAGCAGAGCTCGACTGCTGTCTAGAAATATCACAACATTACAGTCAAACAGACATTCAATCAAACATACTATCTTGTTCCAGTACCCAAACGCCAAAATGCAACTTACAGTCCTCGCCTCTCTTCTTGCCTCTGTGGCTATGACCGCCAGTGCCGCACCTTCCACCGGCATTGAGGCCCGTCAGGGAGTTCCCCGAGTCCGCGCCACTTGTAAGTGACAACATTGCGCAATACAAAACATACGGAACATGTATTGACGTTATACTCATTCCAGTCTACCGTGACCAAGAATGCGGTCGCGACGGCCGGCCTTATGCCGATGACTTCGTCCCACTCCAAAACACCACCGCCACCGGCCTGAGCACGTGCATGAATTTCCCCCCCTCGTTCAACTACCCTAGCACATTCTTTAACGAGACCATGCTCACGAGGACACGTAAGTTTTAGTTGCATGCTAACAAACTTTGGGTTCACATGAGCTAACCAATCGCGTGTAGTCCGTTTCTATGATCTTCCTTGCGAGCAACTTGCCGACGTCGGCAGTGGGCATCACATCGATATCGCCCCTGGCTTCACGGCTGGTTGCCTGAACCTGACACTGAAGTCTTATGTCACTTTGTAGATGCTATGGCTGACGAGGGGCCTGTTGGTGGACAGATCGAGGAAGGCTTTGTTATATGGTAATGCGATGTAGTGTGAGTCGGGTCCAACACTCCGGCTCGCATCACAACACATTCAGGACCTTGAAGGAATTTCCTACCCTCTTCTAGTCACTCATTTATAAGAATACAGAATCTGGAGCAATCCAACATCGAAGACTATGACACTATTTCCATGAGTTATTCATTATTAGTGTTCCCAGTATACTCGTAGGGAAGTCCTGATGAAGAAACTGTAGAAGGTGTGTAAGATTGCGTGGGGTCACAGGTAGACGGAACGTACTATATGCATGCAGTCACTTTGCACGTGAACGTATATGCATGCATGCGACCGGCTTACCTGCAAGATCGCATCGAAGCACCAGATCGAGATGTTTCCAGAGCCACGTCATTTCACGAACTGTTAAGACCGCGAGACTCAAAACTTGGGAACACGGGGCAAGCGGCATCACGAGCTTACGAACTTGGCATCAATGTAAGCAAAACGTACGTAGTGTGTCCTGCTTGGAGTCATCTCGCAACAAATACCTAGAGTTTGGCCTCAAGTCGGAGTCTACGGATGGGGAATTTGACATCACTTCTTCGTATACTCTCACTCACCAATAGGCACCAACGTAAGATTGTTCGTGTCATGTTACCCCTGGGGCAATGGAACAGCCTTAGAATGCTCTGGCCACCCCCTCAAAACATCGCAACAGTGACAAGTGTCCTACAAACAACCGACGTCGACTGGGCGATGTAAGCCACCAACCGCACGATCCGTGTCGCCTTTCATACTAGAGTTGGTGGAGCAATTCAATGCGTAATAGCAGCTTGGCTTGCTTTTGTTGGATGAGAGTACATCACGGAGACATATAAAGCAAGCATGGTACACCGTTCTCTTTCTCACCGCAGCATCTCATCTCATCTCCCTCTTTCCACATCCATCTATCCATTCATACCCCCAGCGACCGAATATCCAAACTTCAACATGCAGATCACCACTCTCATCACTCTGTTCGCCACTGCCATCGCCGTAAGCGCGACACCCGTCGAACTAGAGGAGAAGCGTCAGCTCGAAGGTGCTCCCCGCGTCTACGCCCGCTTCTTCCGCGACAACGGTTGCGGTCCCACCCCATGGGCTGAAGATACTGTCTTCTTGCAGTCCGAGACTGTGGGACTGGCTGGATGCCAGGATCTGACTGTTGGGCCTTTCGCCAGCACCAGCTTTGACATCAATAACTTCAGCAGGACTGGTATGTAATACTCTGTAATAACCAGGGGGCTATAAGAGCTTCGCTAATGAGGTGAATAGTGAGGTTCTTCAACTTACCTTGCTCTCAGCTCACTTCTACTACGAGCGGAAACTTTGTCGACATTGCTCCCGGCCAGGCTCCTAGCTGCAAGAATCTGGCTATCCGGTCCTGGGTAACCATCTAAATGGCATCCCGCGGTATGGCACTGGATCTATATTTGCTGCAAAGGTCAAAATATTACAATGGGTCCAAAGTATCTGGTCTAGTCGCGAAGATGGAGAGGTTGAGTGGTGTAAAGAGAAATGTGAGATGAGTCGGGTCCAACACTCCGGTCTCGTCTTGTGGGTGTTCTTTCATAGCCTTCGTGTCGCTCCTTTAGTCAGAATATAAGATTTGTGGGACGCCCCCGTGTATACTTCACAATATCTACTGTTGCAGCTTACGTGCACGCGAAATCTGATGCCAGCCTTTAGATACATTTTCGTAGAAGACCTCGTGAGTTTGCTGGCACGACATACGCAGTTTCGCAGAAGCGCAGTCGCATTGGGAGGTCTTGTAAGCACGGGGTCAGAGTCTAGCAACTTGACTATGTAGGTACAGAGACGGCAGTCGCTCTAGTATACACGTAGCGTGGACGTAGCAGCGGGCTAAAGATGGACCATCAGGCCATTAGTTGACTAGAAACCAACGCAACTTCCCTCTTGAGCTCTCGCAACGCGTCAACACTGCCAGACAAGAACTTGCGCATCCCTGTCCTCACCGGAAACTGGCCACGGGATCAGCAACAACACACCGACGAGAAAGAGCTTTTGCAGCACGAGCTCATATCAAAACTCTACTATCATAACTTATAGCCCATTTAGTAACGATCCAGATCCATACAGCATCATTTTCATTACTGAAACAATCATCTTGGGCGATGGCTTACTATCATGCGTCTGACCTCACCAAACTCTTCACGACAACAGATTTGGACGTGACCAGGGCGAGTAGAATATACTATTGGAGAGTTGATTCAGAGGATATGGCAAGAGATGATCCATAGAGCATGTCGCGTATAGACACAGCGGACCGATCCTACCGCCAGATGGGTATAAAGGAGGCCTGCTCTGGCATTCATGATTCTTTACCACTAAATCCATCGCAATCACATTCAAACACTTCCAATAATACAAGCCAAAAGAACCCAAAACATCATCGACATGCAGCTCATCACCATCGTTGCCTTTCTTGCGGCCGCCGCTAACGCCGCTCCTGGCACGCTGTCTCCACGGGCATCTGGAAGCGTGCGTGCACGTTTCTATAACGATGGCGGCTGCGGTAACAACGGCGCTGATATAGCTCAAGCTGAGTTGATCCTCACGTCAACCAATGTTACAGGCAAGGCAGGATGTCGGGACTTGACCATCGGGCCATACCCTGCTGTGTTCTTCGATCAGAGCACTCTGGATCCGAACACGAAGAGTAAGTCAATGCACAGCTTTATCCAGCCAGATGTTCACTGGGAGATTTTGCAATGATAGTTATGCTAATTTTTCGTCATCCAGTTCGCGTCTTGAATGTGCCCTGCTCTCAAGTTGCGGACAACTTGGACCAGACCCCTGGAAACAGGATTGACATTGGGCCACGGGACGCCATGACCGGATGCAAGTCCTTCACTGTGCTTTCCTACCTTACTTTGCCGTAGAGAAGTCATCCTCCCGGCAATTGCAAAAGTAGATGGTACGAGGCGAGGATGGCGATGTAGTAGATTGGGTCCAACACTCCAATCTACGTACGTGGGTGTTTGCAAGGTGTTCCTATTTGTTTCTCTTTGTTCGCTTTCACCAACTTTCTAGTCACTCGTTTATTTTAGAATTACGAAAACATCAGGTCATATGCCACTATCTCCTATGGCTCGTTGATATAATGCGGTGATTCTATCTACGCGCCACTTCCTTGCTAAGGTTAATCACCACGCACCTGTATCCACATTCCGATTGGAGTAAGCCTTTTTACAATCGCTCATTCCGAGCTCGGACAGTCACCTCGACCTGTGTCACAATTAGCGCACTAACTCCCGCGCGCTCTTTTACCACGCCTGTTCCCAGGTAGTAAAGTCTTCCCCAGACTCACCCCACTGCTCCTTCCACCCATCGCGCAACAAAGTCATTCAAGGAAACAACCACCAAAACGCCCAAGATGCATCTCATGAATCTTCTGCTCGCGTGCATCTTCGCCCTGTGCGTCATTGCCGCACCCACGGACTTCAAGCTACACTCTCCGCTCGCGATTCCTGTCCCCGGCTCTGCAACCTACGACGCCGACGTCGCTGCTGTCCTTGCCTACGTCCGTTCCCACAACTCTTCCCCCGTCCAGAGATCCGCCGCCGATGAGCCAATTACTAGATTATGCGGCATATATACTAGTACTCCAGTCTCCGATCCCATCTACCAGGAAATGCGCGAAGATGGATCGTTCAACTATCGCAGCTTCGATCTAGCTGCGGGCTCCACTATCGAGGGCATCCTTAACCGCCACTGCGGATTCTGCATGTACTTTGACGGTAAGTGTGTCCGTTTTTCTACTTGCAGTACCTGCGGCGCTCCCAGACTGCACGCTGATTGGCAAGGAATCAACTGACAAGTATTACAGAAGAAGGCGCTCTCATCATGTCCGTAGGACCCGATCAAGTGAATTGGGCGCATCCTACAACTGCCAAGACCTACATCTGCTGGCGTCCGCCGATGAGGGGTCACGAAGGTGGTAACCGAAGATGATCAGCGTCGAGGGCGTGCATGTCGATATCAAGTTCTCGATACTGCTTTGGACAGTGTGGTTACCAGTCACACGGATGTGGTCTTCCTTCTTCTTTTCCACAGAAGTGGAATGTGGCGCGTTAGGACAGTATGCGTTGTGCAGTCCGTCAATATGAAGAATTGACAAGCATAACAATTCAACAAGAACTTGCCGGTGATGGTGATGTACACTTCACATACAACTCAGTTTCAATCACACATGAACATCTGGGATCTTTGTATCTCCAATAGCTCCTGAAACCCACTCTTCCTCTCTCTTTTTGACCTTCTCTCACTCTAAAGCTATCGATGTCTTTCCAGCCACGACAATACACAAGCAGAAAAGTCGCGACGAACTGGTCAAATAGACCACTACACAACAAACTTGGCATTCCAGAAGCAGAGATGAACGCGCATCTAGCTCTGCAAGCGCGCGTACACGACTACGAGGAACGCGACAAGGAGACAGCAAACGAACTGGAGTCCGAAGCAGAGCTACATACAGACTCACATACCAGCGTCGAAGAAGAAAAGCTGGAAGGAAAGAGCGTAGTACATGAAGATGAGACGCACAGTGCGAGCGGCCAGGATGACCGTGCGAGGAAGACTTCTGAAAGAGATGAAACGGTGGTGGTTCTGGGTGGCGGCGGTGACAGAGACATAGTGGTGATAACGATTAGGCATGTGCAGGCCGCTGCGACCACTGTAGAAGGTTTCACATCGGATGGAGATGACAAACGAAATGAGGGCGGGCACACATCGGGCGAGGTATGGACAGAGAGTCCATATTTTCTTTGGGGGCCTTGAAAGATCATGATTCTTGAATGGTATAACATCAGTATCTCATCATCCCATTCCACAATATCAACGTTATCCAACGACGCTTTGCCTCATAGTGACCGCTCTTCTTCTATTACTCCAGAACGCCTTGCTGGGTGGTGATGATACATGAAAGGTGACATGTGGGTGAAGATGCGTATAGTCGTCGGTCACTTCCATCATAGTACTCATCGGGGCCGAATGTGCACGTAGTCCGGAGGTGATGTCGTCGGGCCATTGAAGAGTCATTCTCTCCTTGCAGCGGGACCATGCGATGACCATCGCGAGACCGTCACTTAGTCCAATGAAGCGTAAGCGTCATCCGTAGCAGCTGCGACTGGAAACTGATTTCGGATGCTATCTGACTTCAAGTCGCTTCTGTGCTCGCTTTTTCGGCCTCCGCTTCTGTGCTCTGCTCCGTTTCCTCGCTCTTCTTCTCCTCGATTTCTTTTTGAGGCTCCACCTTGGGTTCCGCCTTGGGCTGCGCGACTGTTTTGCTGACCACGAGGCCGATGAGATGAGAACCAACGTTGCCAGCACCGTCGATAGGCCCGAGTTTCGCATCGAATAGCTTCGCCTCGCGTAGCAATCTGAGTGGTATCAGCTATCATACACTTACCGAAATTGACTTTGTCACGTACCGTGCTTTACCACCGGGCGTCTTCACTGCCGCCTCCTTGATGACACCACCAACCTCCTCCCTGTAGCTCTCAAATACAGGTCCCATAATCATGCGGACCTGGATGTCGCTCAAGTACTTGTTGATCACCTTATGCATGGTCACAGTGTCCTTGGTCAAGCTCTCCATGCTGGGGCTGACATCTTTGTTGACTTCAGCCTCAGCATCCCATTCCACTTTCTTGAGACTGCGCATATGAACCTTTGCTCTCCCAGCTAAGATGCCCGTAAGCTTTTCGTGGATTTGGTTCTGTTGGTCGTACAACAGGCGCTTGACGTTGTCAAACTCGCCGATTGAGGATTTGTTGGAAGCTGATGCAGTGCGACGCCGGAAGCACTCGCGGATGTAAGGTAGGATGGCGACAAGGAAGGAAAGTGTCTGAGAAGCAATGGCGAGATGTTTGGTGTTGATATTCTTCAAGCCAGCTGACTGCATGGCGCCCGCGCCGAGAATCAGTTGACAAAGTCGGGAGTTGAAAAGCTTGATGTAGTCGCAAAGGGAGGTAGAGACTTCGGAAGTCATACTCGGCATGGAAGAAACCAGGATTTCGAAGCGCTCGATACCCCGAAGGACGACCGTTGATGATTCGGAGATAGTGTACTTCTCCTCGTCAACAACGGCGGGTATAGTGGTTTTGTTCTTTTCCTTGGGCTTCTCTTCGGATGCGCCATTTGTTTGTACTGAAGTGCCATTTGTGGTCGGCTTTTCGATCTCTCGAAGAACGTCACCAGTTTCGGCCCAGCTTGGTGGATCGCTCTCCATACCCTTCAACAACCGTGCCAGGACCTCGATATCGCTTGCATCAAAGTCCTTCGGTTCCCAACGATCTGAGTCCATTGCTTTTATCAGTTCTTGCTTCTCAAAGTCTGCAAATTTGGAGACGAAGTCGTTGATGTGGGTGTTCACCACACCCTTCAGTGCAGCGCCAGAACGCCCTGAGACAGCTTCACACTCATCCGCAAAGAGCCTACACATGTTGAAGTACCGTAGGAAGCGTTCCAATGGGAGATTAGCTGTAGCTTCTGAGCGGACTTTGAGGAGCTTGGTGATCTGTGTCTGTGCTGCGTCGACAGCCTGGCCTAACAAACTGGACATATCCAGAGCTTGCATAAGTTCCATCTGCAGGTCGTTGGAGCTTGGCGCTGGCACATTATTGCCTACGTAATCATCGATACTGTGCATATAAGGACTCCTTGGAGGAGACCGAAGCCCACCAGCAGAGGCGGGAGGGGTAGTCACGCCGCTTGTGACATCAAGAAGCACCTTGATCAGTGTGCTTAGACGGCGGAGCGCCTCTCCAATGTTGGTGAAAATATTAGCGAAAAAGACCTCGGCGTCCTCAGGATCCATTGCGCGCAGATTACGCGCAAGGATCGAGTTCTTGTCCTGTTGACTAGTGCCTCGGCCGCCTCTTGTAGACACAGAAGCCATAGAACCAGTATCGTCTTCTGATGAGCTCGGCAAATGTTTCCGGATGAGAACTTTCATCTCTTTGATCATAGCCTCCCTGAAAGTTGCGCTAGCTTGATTGGTGAATTGCGCTCCGCTCAGGCCGTACAGACTAGCTCGTAGCTCCGCTCGTAGCTTTTCATCTGTTGTCATGTAGGCTGGTAAAGTCGTCTTCGGTTTCTGATTGGCCCCGCGAGCTTTTTGCGATGCAGCAGTCCATCGTTCCAAGGTATCATGAGCCGGAACTCGCTTGACGTGCTCTCGCAGGTCTGCGAGCAGAGTGTCAACAAAGCGTACTTCAAAGCCTCTGCCCACGCGGAACTTGAGCTCGGTAATGTTCTCGAAAACTCCGTCCAGTGCTCTCAAGTGTCGCAAATCGATCAACTGCGGAGGCAATCGAGAGTCGAGCCACGAGGTGCTCTGAGTATCAGTCGTGTCCAGCGCGCCTGTTATCAGTCGTTCAATGACTTCTATCCGAGCCATGGCGGTTTCAAGGTCACCGTCGACAACGGCTTCGTCGCAGTGCGAGAGTCCGACGATGACAGCCTGTAACTGGTCGACCGAGTCTGTCAGCCTCCTCAAATTCTCTCTCCGCCTCTTCATTTCGACGACCTTCAAGCCTCCTATTGCCATCTGCTCATCCAACCTCTTCAAGTCTTCCCTGAGACCTTTTATCCTTGCGACCGAATCTGATGCTTCCGTCTGAAGCTCGCGGAGGGAGCCGAGCGCGGCGAAGAAGGATGTCGATGCGGTGGATATGGCCGAAATCAAGTGCACCTCCACCGTGTCCATGTACCACGAAAGCTTCTCTTGTAGAATCGCATTTGTAGCTAGAGCTTTCCGCCCGGGAGGTTGTGGGACGTCCAGAGAGCCGTTTGCCCCAAAATCATCGTTGCTTGCTGTTCGCGCTGGCCTGACCACCTCGGATCGCTCGCTCACTACGTCAAAGGTTCGCGGGTTTTCTAGGTGGAAGTTCTCGTCGAAGTAGATGTTGGGTATTGTAGATAGCGGCGTTATGGCTGGGAGTGCGCGCTTGGATCCGCTCGTTCGACGCTTCGGTTTCGGTGGCCCGTTGGATGAGAAGGGTGTACCTGCTAGATTAGGTGTCCCCGCTGGTGACTCAGTCGCATCTTCCTTCTTCGAGCCTCTCCTTACCGGCTGGGCGGCCTCTGCTTCGGCTTCGGCCTTTGCGCGTTGAAAAGCGTCGTACAAACCGCCGACTTGCGACAGATATGGATTGAAGGTGGAGGGCTCGACGTGGGGTACATTTGTCAGAGTCACGGGCGGGATGTCCTTGGTGGATGGAGGGCGGTGGCCTGCGGTCGCTGTGGCAGTGGTATGCGGCACCATGCCAGTCCGCATGATGGGCGGCGTGAGCAACGTGGAGATGGCATTGTTGCTCTGCTCTCTCACCGCGCCCATGGTGCTCTTGAAGCCGCTGTCGAGTGCGCCCCCAACCGAGTGTATCGAAGACGCGGTTGAGCCACGTCGCGGCTTGTAGCGCCCGCCCGTGGAGCTGGGCCTGTTTGTCCAGTCATGGTTCGCTGATGGGAACGGGAAGGCGCCCTGCGGCGGGTTCGGCGACAGGAACTCGAAGCTCTCGGTCGATCTCCGTGGGGTATCGGGGGAAGACATGATGGCGGCGCAGGTCGGGGGTGGTGAATAGGCGGCGGCATGGGTGGGCAGGGGGGCACATCTATCGCATGCTGGGAGACGTGTGGACGGGTATCAAGCTGGTGGTTATCAATCAAAGACAGCAAGCAGAAGGCGCAATGGGGAGATTGGTTGTGTCAAGCGTCACTTGAATGTCGTGGCTAGCCAAAGTTCCACGCGCTCGGTGGTGACGGTGCATGGGCCCTGGAGCGGCTTCTGGAAGCTTGACAAGGATCATGCAGCCGAAACACAACCGCCGACGGCTCCACCTACTTCAGACCCTTATGTAAGCCACGCCTCTCCCCCCAACCCATCCGCGTCTCTTACATCCTTGGGATATCGTTGTGCTTTACCCCAGCCTCTCATCCACAGCCGTTCTCAACATCGATATTATGCCACCAAGTCTGCTACCTCCTTCCCCTGCGTCTTGCCCGTTTTCAGTAGGCGGCTTGACAGCATCCCTACTTTTCTCTTCCAATCCATACTTGTTACGCACAGACTTCCAGTCAGTGGACATGATCAAATCTTGTCGACAGAAGTGACATCGCATCCGTTTTCTGTCGCTCAAGGCAATCCTGCGCATCTGATCAAGGCACGGCTGACATAAGATATGGCCGCACGGCACGATGATAGTAGGATTGGCCACAGTTTCGAAGCAGATCGGACATTGAAAAGGTTTACTGGCTGCTGCAAGTCGCTCGAGTGTGCTCTCGTCGAGTTCGCTCTTTGTTGGGTCGAGGTCGAGGTTTCGAAATAGTTCGTGCATGGCTTCCGAGCGTCTGAACGCATAGCTTGGCCGAGTCTCATGGACATCTCGCCTAGCGCTCTCAATAACTCGCCCATCTCCCACCACGCCTGGGTTGCGACTTGCGCGTTCTTGTCTGGCAGGACGCGTGGGGGCCTCCTGTAAAGCATTCCATACTGGATGCCGATGGAGAGCGAGTATCACATCAGTCCTTCGCAAATCATCAGGACTAATCGGATCAGGAACCGGTGCATTGGGAAAGTGCGGCAAAGTTTCGTCAGTGTCGATTGTAAGACTTTGTATACGGGGAGGTGTTTGCGCCGAGGTTTGCAAATGGCTCATAGACATGCTGGAGCTTTGCGTAGGCCGCATCATGTTTTGAATCTCAGCTTGCGCCGCAGGCGTGAGAGATATGGATACAGATCTATGTCTAAATGCCGAGTCCCTGACACGTCTTCTACCGGTGGAGTTGGGCCCCATGGTCGCGATGTGGTCGGTTCTTGGGGTGATGTAGTTGGTACTTGGGGTGATATAGTCGGTACTTGGGGTGATATAGTCGGTACTTGAGGTATTGGAAAGAAAGATGAATGAAATAGACAACAAGATGGTGTGCGTGGATGTTATATGAAATTCGACTGGAGTAGCAAAATTCGTGGTTGCAGGTACCTTGGTTGGCATTCTCGCTTCCCAAAGTTTTGACGAGACGTAATGTGCGGATTGGAATCACATCAACGCAGACAGATTCGCGAACGTACTAGGTCACCACTACGACTGTGACTCTGTAAAATTCTGTCTTTAGAACCGATCAAAGAAGAGCGAGAGACATCGACATGCGGGAATCAGTAATATCAAGCAGACTATCATATTGATCTTGATCCAGGCCTATTTTTATAAAATTGCGAAACTGCGCGACAACAACTAGCAATGATTGAAGGGAGCAACGAAATCCAGACCATGCTATCCTAGCTACCCTTCTCCTTGTCTCGGGATGCGGAATGTATCTGTACCTTGACTCCTTCTTTGGCGTAAATGTGCACGATCCCCTCTTGCGAGTCATGATCGAACTGGCCTACATGGCGGTTGTTCGCAGAACAATGTAGGGGAACCAGTGCTTTTCTCCGCTTCGCATTTGGTGGGCTGATCATGTCCATGAAGCTGCGCCTCTTGCTTGCCGTTGCAAGGCTAGACACCGCACTAGATATGAGTGGTGACGAGCTGGCTGCCCCAGATGCCGTCGACATTGGTGTAGGAGGACGTAAGGTATTCAGGCGCTCTATTGTGTCCTCTCTCACAAGAATACGCATTTCGCGAGATGCCCATGTTCCTTTACCTTGTGTGCTACCACCTGCAGAACCAGGAGAACTTGAAACTGTGGTGCAAGTATGCTGCTGCGTTTCCTGAACTGTGGCGCTAGAGGGCGTCGCTTCGCAAATGGCCTGTGTGGTCGTCGGGTGGGGCGTCACCGGCGACGAGCGAGGTGTAGTTCGCTGAGTCGTCTGCTGCGTAGTATCGTCGGTCGTTACAGTCGCTTGGGACCCGCCCATCTCTTTGGTGTACTTCTTGACCAGCAAAGCAACGTCACGAGCATGCCCATCGAGCTTGTCAGCATCAGGCACCTCCCACTTCTCCTCAGCCATACGTTCCAAATCTTCCAAAGATACAGCATCTTCCCAAGTTCTGTCATGATGTATCTTCTTGACTCTGGGGTGTCGCAACATTTCGAAGGATTCGTTTTGGAGCTTCTCAAAGCTGCCGCCAAGAATCTCTGCTACGAAAGGCTTCTTGAATGCTGCGGTCATCCGCCTGTCATAGCCTTTGGGATGCTGGATTTCGAACTCAAGCGTCGACCCATTGTCTCGTAGGGTAGACAGGCGGATGTAACCTTGAACGTTCATGTATTTCGCATCGCTCTTTGGTATGCACTTTTCGAGGCTGAGGCTCGCAACGATCTTGAACTTTGGCTTTGCACCCGTGCGCTGTACCGCATCTTTGTTCGTACAACACCCCAAATGGAAATGCGTCCAATGTAAAGGCCTCAAGTCACTCTTTGCCGCGACTTGCGCATCAAAGCTAGCCCCGACCACAGCGAAGTCGCCCAGATCTCTCTCACCACCCATGTCACCGAGGTAATCTTTTTTCAACTTGATAAAGAAACTTGCTTGACGATGCCCTTGCTCTGACAGAAGTGGGAAGTACGGCGCGTGCAATGGTTTGAGAACTAGTCCTTCTTGGTGTTCGGCTAGGTTCCGGGCAAATATCTGTTTAAGGTCTGTTATGCCATCCCCTGTCTTAAAGTCCAAAAGTGTCCACTCCGATCGCATTGACCGACCGGGGATTACATGGACAAGGTTCCTCAAGATCTTGCGACGGTCTTGAAGGCAGTGACGTAGAGTAGATTCGTCATCCAGCACAAGGATGTCGAAAAACACGAGCATGAGATGCTCCCACTCGTGCGGCAGTGAATCTTGAAGCGTGCCGATGAAGGAACCAGAGCGGGTGATGTGCTTCCTGATTTTTGAGAAACCCATTATTTTCTTTTCTTTGTCACTGTAGAGTACCATCTCGCCCAAGATGATGCACTTCTTCTTCAAGACGCAGTCTGGTCGACCGATACGGAGGGCTTCGCGAATCGTAGCATGCAAAGGCTTTCGGTCCGCCGTTGCGTCCTTTCCATTTTTAGAAAAAATGCGGATGTCATTAGGTGCATTGTCCAGGTCAACGTGTATCTCGCAATACTCGCCGTCGTACTTCACTTCGGCAGCCCAAGCGCGCTGACCCACAAGCTGCATGCAGTGCTTGAAAGACCAAGCTTTGTGGAACGTCGGTCGCCCCACCTTGATTCCAACAATAGCTCTCAGTTTCTGTGCCGCGTCGACTCGCAAAGATCTTTGCTTTGAGTGCTCTGGTACTGCGGGATAGCAGCTCAGATCGCCTTTGAGCATCTTGAAGACGGCGTCGAAGTCATTTTGGAACATCAACAATTCTGGTAAGAGAAAGTGGTAGCAGTCCAGAACAAACTTCTCATCAAGCTCCACGGTACAATGATCTCGCAGGACGAGACGCACCAACCACTTTGCTTCCCACGACTCGAGTCTCACGAGTATCTCCTTCAGCTCGGCATCGGTCTGGAAATCCGAGTTACGCTTCTTCCTGATGACCTCGTCGGAGAACCGATAGCTCGCTGCTAATTGTTCGAGCAATCGGTCGATTCGTTCGATCGGAAATGCACGTTTGCTGGCGAATGTGCCATCCCAAGGTTTCATTGCTCGTTCGACATACGCCCCAAGGTCACCGTAGTTCCCTGTATGCCAGCCCTCAAATAGAGCTAATTGACCGTGATTGAAGGCAAGTAGACTTGCAAGTTTCTTTGCAAGTAATGGCGATTGCATTCCATAGACTCGATCTTTCCTTCGATGTGGAAAGAGAGCAGACAAGACGGCGCCCCCGTTTGTATCGGGATCATCTAGGGCTTCTCTCTGCTCGAGAAACCACTGCGAGATTGTCTCGCGTATAGGGTATTTCTCTTGCTTGGCAAGTAACCGTGGTCGTCGTGTCGTGATGGTCTCGACGTTTTGTAGGAGACTGCAAATGGCGCCGAAGGTGACGGTCATTGTAGGCGTGCCGATGTACGTAAACCGGGGATTATCGTATCGTGCTGGGCCTGCTAGGGCTGTTTATGCTTGAACTGAGTATGCGACATGCCAAAGGCAGTAGCAAGTGCTGTGCCTGCGTCCAACAGCACCTGGTGGATATCGTGAACGGTGCCGCCAATCTATGATATAAAGGTATCAATGTTCGAGCGTGAAAAGGCTCGATAGAGTTGTGCGGAATACCGTCGGTGTACGCAGAGCAGGCGGACAATTGGTCGATGCGCACGTTTGAGGCCTCAATATCCTCATCATAGTCGCAAGAACGTTGCCGAGCCTTTGACGTCGAAGGGGCACTTGGGGTTTGTTATTAGATGCAAATCGAGGAATTCAACAATGGCGTCTTTAGGTCTATAAGAAGAACATAAGTAAATTGATGATGCGGATCAATAGAAGGCTTGGTCGCGTCCCAACAAAGTCACGATGAATGGAAAGAGGGGCTCTTGGACGCGCACGCGCTTCCTAACGCGCTAATGTAAATCATCACGGGAACACGCGCATTCTAGGCTGTATTCGGACAGCGAGGGAATTCGGCCCATCTGCTTCGAGCTGCCGACGAGCTATCTTCCGACTATGTCATCAATTCATATAACTATGGCGAGCATACATTTAACAGCAGAATTTTAGAACGTGAGGTTGAGCAGGTTCCTGTTCTCACAGACGGCATTCAATGGGCCCGAGCAAGCGGTTAGCGTATACGTCATGACCCGCCCGTCGTTTGATCCTCCATCAGATATTGATCAGCTCGCGCTTTCGAGTGACCGAGCGCGCTTCAACTGGCCGAGGAGACAGCATATATTTATTTGGCGGTGTTGGACTACAGAATTACCGTCAATTGCACTTCAAGTCTTCGAGCTGGACACAGCAGTAGCCAGGTAACCCCGCTGTAGCCGGCCTTGCGACGACAGTACTAACGTTGACAGTACTACGTAGACAATTGGCACAATGGCGCCAGGCCAAGGCCAGAAAGGCAACCCGAACGATCCTCGATCAGAAGAATCGAAGAAGAAGGATTTGATTGCACGCGGCGATTACACACCCACACCAGCTGGCAAAGTGACCTTCTTCCTCCTACGCGGCATCGAGCCTGTCCTTCAATATTCAATCCTCGCGCATGGCCTCGGCACATCTGTCCTACATCGCGTAGGACTGCGAACACTACCTCCCGGACTGCCAACGCATACAGGCATATCTCTGATCGATGGCTTGGGCCTGTCACCATACCGATTGGTATTGCTCGGAATGGCGGTTGGCGCAGCTGTGAAGCAGAACATCTGGGTAGCAGCACTTTCCGGAGAGCCAATGCCAGTCAAAGGCGCCATCGCCGTGGGTCTGTTCAACGCTGTCTTTAATAGTCTGAGTACCTACGCCTTCCTCACATCAGCTACCTCCGCCTCGACCGAAGCCACCTTCCCACAACCCGCGCTCCTCGTCGGCAGCTCGCTATACGTCGTAGGCATCGTGACGGAACTTGTCGCAGAAATACAACGCAAGCGCTTCAAGGCGGACCCCAACAACAAAGGCAAAGCTTACACGGGAGGTCTTTGGAGCTTCGCACGCCACATCAACTACGGTGGCTACACAATCTGGCGAGCGGGTTATGCCATGGTCGGAGGAGGATACACGTTGGGTGCGTTAGTAGGAGCCTTCTTCGCGTGGGATTTCACACAGCGGGCAATCCCGATACTTAACGAGTATTGCGAGAAGCGCTATGGTGCGCAATGGGAGGACTTCAAGCAGAAGACTCCGTACCAGCTGATTCCCTACGTCTACTAGATCTGAGCGAGCGATAGTATATAATCTAGTGGGGTCACGATAGGGAGAACCGAGGCGCATGTACAATGTTATCTCCGGACGAGCTATGCAAGCTCCATCTCATTCGATGCCCCACCTCATTCGATACCCATGTACTCCGAGAATGCACGACTTGTGCATGCACAATTTTGGTCGTACGATGCTGTTGTCTGAGATATCGGAGGACCCCTCATGCAGTCGGCAATGTTCATCACACCAAGGACCACGAGTTATCGTACCGATGACAGCGGCACAAGACCGACACTAAGGCCCAAATGCCGGACCAGCTGCCTCCCGAGCGCAAGCCTATTGCCCAAAGTAGCCTTCACGATAACAATTACCCCGTCTGGAGATACGACACCCAGTCGTCGTAGCACGATGCAGGTGCGATTCTCGTCAGCACGGCAGAAACCGAGCCTTGTGCTGCGTTCGTGCTGTTGTGGCCAAGGGGCATTACTCGTACACAAGCCGCTAAAGAAAATGAGCGTGAAAATGATGGTGTGCGATCTGGCATGCAGGTGAGAGATCTGCGGACGTTGTGTAACCCTCCAAACCAAAGGCTTGGGTTTTACTGGCATTGTGGACTGTGATGGTGTGTAGAAAAGGTGGGTAGATACGAATCATGTGCCGTCAATGTATTGGACTTTGCGCCTCCGGATTGAAGATGCTTGGTAGCGGGTCGTCGGCCTATTAGGCGTGCAACATCACAATGACAGCCGGAACAAAAGCCTCATCGAAGCTGAGGCAAGGTCGACAACGCACGACATCTGTTCGGAGAGTTGAGGTTGGCGATAACGACATACGACCGAACGCGGGGTGACAAAGACCCGAGGGCACAATCAAGCAATGATCTACAATTCAGCTCTTCAGGGTCCTTTTCCGTGGCGGCGTTCGCAGCACGATGTCGCTCAAGGATGCCGCTACGCGATGCTACGCCACAAACGCAGAGTCTGGTACACTTGCGCTTTGTACGGGCTGTTCTCCAATTTTCCTTCTATGAATACCCACCGAAAAGCTCGTATCTCCACAGAAAGTGATTATTGATGGGTATCATCAGAGACGCAGGCTGGTATTGACGATGACGGTCAGGAGGTGGCAATGCCTATTACTAGAAGATTCTCGGCGAAGGCCGAAGCGGATCTGCCGGGCAGAATTGACCGAAGACGGCGATGGTGGTGATGCGAAAAAAGAGCCTCAACATTTTTCGGATAGTCGCAAAGATCACGATCTGGAGGAGCTCGGCTGGCGTTGCAGCATGTCCCATGGTTGAGCGCGCAGTGCTAGAGAGCGGGGAACGGCTGAAGGTGCATCGATGTGCATGCAACCCCACTCTGGGATATAGTATAGACAAAAGTAGCGGACGAGCAAGGCCTGCGAGCGGGCTGTTCAACACATCACGTTAGATGAAACGGTATCAGGGCCTTGGTTGTATCCCGGTCAGATGTGCGCTGGGGTGAGGTCTCGCGATGATGGCCCCGGCAGTCTGCTGGCGACGGGTGCGGGCGACAATTAGACAGTGCTCGCGGTCATGGCTTCAGAGGCAAGATGGCGGCACAGGGCACGCTTGCCAGAGGATGAAACACTATAGCCGGTGTCACGAGCGATGTGTCAGACGTCGCACTCGCAGCTCGTAAAAAGTGAGGTTCAAAAAGAAAGGCGGGATGCAACCAGAGGCGATCATGCACAGCTAACTGGGGCCTGCAGGCCGCGATGCTCGAGCCACGTTTGCCGATGATTCGACGCGGAGAGGAGCAGCTCGGCAGCGCGCGGGATTCGTGAAGTTGGCGACATGTATGCAGCAGCGCAGCCGGGATGCTCGGGGTGCAAGGCTCAAGGTAGTAGTCGGGAGCCGTATACGGACGCGACTCCGCCTGGCTGGGGCGGCTGTTTTGACTTGAGGGGCCTCTCGCGCGCGACGGATTCAGGTTTTGTGGCGTTATTTGAGCCTACTATGGACGTGCTGGATCGCGCGTGGGAGATGGCATAGTAGCAAAGCGCCATGGCGACGCTGCAGAGGAGGCCTTTCGTCATTGACACTTGCGCGGTGGAGACGTGGTTCCCAGGCGTCGGCTCACCCATTTCTAGCGCGATCGCCCTCAACGGCAAGCACGGAGAGTACCCAAGATACTAAGATACAAGACACGGCCGCTTCCTCTTGCGGGCGCACTCGTCCCGATTCTGCTGCCATCAGTCTGACTGCTCCATACACGCGCCCTTCCCTTTGTTCCCCACCGGCCTGCCCACAGTGCCCGACGTTTCTTTTTGTACTTCCCTATTCAAAAGCTGCGTGTGCCGCTGCTGCACTCTCGGGTGGGCTAGTTCGCGACCTCGCCGCCGCATCCATCTGTAAGTCAGCAATTCGCGCGCCTCGACGCCATGCAGGTGCTACGCTTGATCCTCGCAGCCCAGCTGGCGTCTACCCGTCTTCCCTACCTCTCAAACCGCGCGTGTTGACCTGTTCTTTCTTTAGAGTAAGCTTTTCTAGCGTCTCTGGCTGGACTGGACCATTGCTATTAAGGACCCTTTCCGCCCACGACTCGACACGCCTGCCAGAGCACCACAAATCTTCGCACATCATCCCTCCAATCTCGACTCCTCCCGCCGGGCCTCGACTGCCCTGCCGCCGTTGCCGCTTTCGCTTGCTCCGTGTGCCGTCCGCATATCATCAGCATCACCAATTCCTGTGGCCATTGCCTTACATCAGCCCATATCCGGAAGCAGTGGGAGTCAGTGCATTGCATCAGTCGCAACGCCGCAGCACAGCTTCACCACCGACCCCCCTTCACTACCAGCCAACAATTTGCTAGTTTGCCCCAAAAGAACGTCATTGTCTGTTCTTTAACGCTGTCGGTCCGACGTCAGCGCGCTGATCTGTGTTTCACTCCGTGAGTCGTGACGCGAAGAAAGCAGAGCCATTCATCATGCAGGCTGTCATGGCGCAACCCCCGCAAACCTCTGCCTACGGGGCTGTTCCTCTCCGCCGTAAACCCATAGCAAACCCCGGCATATCGGTGCGACCCCCGCAACACCAATACCACAACGACGGCCAACTAGGACATTCACGAACGCGCACTACGAGCTCAGGCATCTTCCCCGCCCAGTCACCCACCGCAAGCACCATGAACTCGCAATACCCTACCCAGTACCAGAGCAGTCTCCGCCGAACCCCG